GTTTCACCTGTATATGCTAGTAGATACAGAGTGCTTTATCCGCATCCTGGCAAATTTACATGCTTCAATCGAGGTTAGGGTCAGTATCCATAATTTTTTGCTTCATGACTTCTACAGCTTGAAAAGTATTTTCAAATTCCTTGACAGTGAACTCCTTCACTTGCACATTACTGTTCTCCTCTGATGGAATCTTCCTTTTCTTCATTTTGCACACACGAAGATTAGCAGTGTCTAAAACCCAACCACAACTCTGCATGCCCTAGCCTTAATTGCGCCCACACTAGCTTCACATTAACTGAATTTTGGGTTCCATTAAACGTGACCTGGTATCAATTTACAATTTGTACTAAATCAAATATCGCATGATTCGAACTTGTACTAATTGCCACCTACCTGTACAGAGTCTCTGTCTACATTTATGAAGGAACAGTTAACAGGTAACTCTCCAACCAGTGCATTCTCCCCATCAGACCTCATGCACTGCCATCTGTACTTCCCCCCACCAACTCCTCTACATGATAGGTTTTTCAAAGTCCATTTCTTTCCATCTTGTGTTTAAAATCAAAATGCTTCCCACTCCTTTTATGTAAAAATTCCCAACCCCTCTGGACAGTGGAGAAGACCAAATTGTATCTGCCCGCCATGTAACTATTACAGATGAGTAGACTCTCAGGGAAAAACAAAACAAAAACAACCCTATGAAATGACACTGATCACTCACATCTTTAAATGCTCAGGGATTAAATTTCAGAATTTTAAGAGCTAAGTGATCAAAATGCTCTATCTGGATAGATACATTTCTCAATTTTGCTTTTTGCCACATCAGATGGTTGAAAAGTTGAGTGCAGAATCTGAGGTCCCAGGGCCATTGTGTGACAAAGATTTCAGGCTATTTCAGAACATCTTTAAAAAAATGAGATATGAACAATTAAGCAATGATTAGATTAGGAAGTGTATAAAAGGGGAACTCATGCTGAAGCCACTTGAAATGGACAGTTCAGTTCCTTCTTAGGCATATAGTTTAGACGTTTCTGGTAAGCAAGTACTTCACAGTCTTGATATAGATAGTGACTGGTGTGAAGGCTGTACTATGCTACACTACAAGTAGAAATACAATTTTATTGTTTTGACCATCAATGATAAACCATGCATACTAAGCTAACTTTATAAAGTTTTGATAGGCTTTCTGTCTGGTTTAACCTGTAATAAAATTGAGTTCTGGAAAAAAGAAAGAAAAACACTTTTTGCCTCAGGTAAAGATAAATACTGTTTATGCAAGACCTAGAAAGACATATAGCCTAAGGGAAGTTTGACAATATACTTCAAAAGCTCTAAACTAATGGCTTAATTAAAATAGACCTATACAAGGGAATTTTTGAATAGAACAGAAATATAGGGCCATTGTAAACTCTGAGTGCAGTTCTCAGAGTCTAAAAAAAAATGCCATTGGGATATAGGCATTCTTTTAAAAGTCTGACTGAAGGGGAACATGGTTAAATTATTAATTGATGATTAAAAATTACTTGCATAAATTATTAAATGGAAATTAATTATGTTATTAATTACCATATTAAATTTAAATTAAGTTCAATTTAATTTTGGTCTCAGACCCATCTACTTTTTAGCATGCAGGCCCACGCCACATGACTTAAAGCTCAGCCTGGAAATTGATGCACATCTCTGGTTTAAAACATCACATTTCTTGTCAAGTCCATGTTTAATAATGAATTTACAAGTACTGGTAAAGGTTTATCTGTATTTTATTGTCATTTGCTCCTTCTTTCAATTCCTTATTAAATATGCATACTTGCAAGACTTGAGGCCAATTCCAGGCCAGATATGATTATTACACAAATACGTAACAACTGCTTATCCTGAAGGCTGCTAAGATGCACTTTGCCAAGTATCTATTAATCTGGAAGAGCAGAAGGAAGAAATCTCAAATTTAAAACCCTGAGAATATAAGTATCTACACCTCCACACTAGCGATGGACATTCAACTGTTCTCTATGGCTTCATTCTTGTATGCAGTTCTTCATTCATTCTTAGGCCAAGCACTGCCTAAGAATTCTTTAACCAAGTGAAATCAAGGAATCAAGCTAAGCTATGATGTTCCCATTCATGATTTACTACCAAGTCCAGATCAGGAAGCCTGAAAGTATTGTATGGGGATTAAATATCTGGTAAATCATGTGTAATTGTTGTAATTGTTGTTGTAATTCACTTTCCATTACTCTTTTCCACTTGAATATGTGTGTGTGTGTGTGTGCATGCATGCATGTGGGAGTATGAAATGAATTGTATAATACGTTAGAAGTAAACAGCACTTCTTTTTAACATTACATATGTTATCAGCATGTCAAATCATGACTAATGGGAGGTGAACCACTAACACAAACAAGCCCTGAGGACTTCATCAGGATCAGAATGTCCTAAGTTAAAACTGAAAGTGACTGAATGCTGGTTATCCATCAGTAAATTTTCCATCCTTCTGTTATTCTCTAACATTGCATTTGAAAATAAGTGCACATGGACCTGGGCTGGGACAGAAACATTTTCCTTAATGTGATCATTTCTTACTTGCAGATCTAATTCCACGTAGTACTTTTTGGCATGTGCTTCTGGGATAACATTTCATGGCCACAGATAGTCCTTGGATTAAGGCTATGCCATTTCAAATCTTATGATGACTAGATTTTACATTACTGTTAATAGATCATCACTAGTATATAATAATGCTAATTTCAAAGATAAAAGTACAGTGGTGTGTGTTCTTATTGACAGACAGCATGCAGTATATAACCTACTAATAACTTTGTTGGAACTGATCAGAATCCATCTAATCTAGAAGTGAGGAACCTGTGGCCCTTCTGATATGGCTGAACTATATTCAGCATTCTTGAACATTAACTATGCTGATTTGAATTGCTAGGAATCCTAGCTCAGCCACATTTGGCAGTAATAAATTCCTGATGCCAGATATAATCCAGCAGCGTGGACTGTTTTCAGTAGTTGGCAGTGTATCTGATTTTCAGGTAGCCATTGACACAAATTCTTCCAATATGATTGCTTTAGGTTATAGGTGTATCTTGCAGAGATCTTAGGTATGCAAATATACTAATATCCTTGGACCCTGATTGTAAGTCATTGATGGTAGCAAATACGAGTTAACAAGTTACGTTTTCAATCTTTATATATTGCTTTGTCTTAGTGAAAATAGAAACTTGTCTTCCTCCCCACTGCTAAGAATTCAAACAAATAGTTCTCGTATCAGCAACAGCAATAGGTAGTTTTCTCAAGACAAGCCTGATGGGGGCTGGCCTGTCAAAACATAACTTTGTACCTGCATGGTGGTACTGTCTCTGAAGAGCCAAACTGCCATCACCATTTTATTTTTTTATAGATATTGTATTTCAACCATTCATATATCCTTGTAAGAATCACCATGAAGTAATTCAGGCTGAAATGGTGGTTGGCCGAAATGAGCTTCACATCTGGGCATACTTAAAGAAGTTCTCAGCCCAACTGCAATTGTATTTGGCATTACAGTACCGGTAGCTGGAATTCTCAAGTTGCTTCAATTCTGTAAATTGTCTTCAGCGCAGGCAATGAAGGATTATTTTGAAC